AGGAAGCAACTTTGAGCAAAGTCACATTTATTCATGATTATGTGGTTGAGCTATATGTGTACTTTAAAATCAACTACTATCCTTACTATCCCATCGAAGGCTAACATCAGAACCAATATAAAATAAAATTGCAAGTGTTGCAAGTATCTTTGAGGTTTACCGTTTTATGACGTACGAAACGCCAGCTATACATATTAAAAGGCTATAAACAAAGAAGAGTAACCTTCCCATCCCCTCGCCCCTAAGTCTTGATGGTTTCGTCAGTTAAACTTTAACTCCCCTCTTCTGCTGAGCTGCCTGTTCAAGCGGGAAAATCTGGCGGGAGAATTGAATGTGGTATCTATGTTTATAATGGAAGAAGCGAAAGAATCTTCTTTTTCCGTGGAAATTTCCTAAACATTTGGCAACGTTCAGTCTTTGGATCATGCCAAAAAGATGATTTTAAAATATGAAACGACGAACACCGTAAAAGTTTCCAGTTACAAGGCTGACAAGGACTTTGGAAATCATGGTGTACACTATTAAAGTTAATCATTCACTAAAAAAATTACACTTAACCAGGAACGTAATACTTTCATACAGAAACATAAACTTCCATCTTCATTTAAGAATTTCATCATCCACTAAATAGAATAGCTTCACCTATTTGAACATGCACAATCTTCATCATTATTTTTGCTTTCATTCCTCAGCTGGTTTTATAACCAGCTGCATTTCATCTCTCTTTGTAAATAAGTATGTGTGCATTCAGAATAAAACTAATAATCTCTTTCAACAATAAATTGCAACATTAAAATTTGAAGCGCAGCCAGGATGAGACATTAAAATGGACTAAAAATGTTCTTTCTCAGTATTTAATATTAAAATTTACAACTCACTGCAGATTGAAAAAGATACAACATGAAAGATTGAAAGCATCAAAATGATTGAGAGATGATATGGGAAAAAGAAATGTGAAGTCTGAGCAGAGAATTTACATAGAGTTTCCTACTGAGACTCACCATGCACATCATCTTATGGGAGAGGTAAGATAATAGAAGGAGAGGGTATGAAGTCCACCTGCAACTGCCAGTACCAATCAATGTTTGGTTAATCAGAAAAAAAAATTATGCTTTCTTTCCGATATTTAATAAGGTGTCTTGTTGGAGCTATGACACTTCTCTCTGTTTTAACTTAAGTATAACATGCCTTAAGAGAAATTAATATCTAACACATATTATTCTGAGATACAATGAATATATGAAGTTCATATATTTTGAACTGCGGTATTAGATACGTATGATGCACGATCCTCGCAGTAGATAGCGCTATTTATGCAATAGCGAAAATCAGACCTGAAAAAAATCAGGCCTGTACGGGACTCGAACCACTGACCTCTGCGATACTAGTGCAGCGCTCTACCAATTGAGCTAACAAGCCAACTGGGAGCAGGCCGTTAAGTTGATTCGTAATAAACCCGTGAAAGTGATAAATGAGATACAATGAATATATGAAGTTCATATATTTTGAACTGCGGTATTAGATACGTATGATGCACGATCCTCGCAGTAGATAGCGCTATTTATGCAATAGCGAAAATCAGACCTGAAAAAAATCAGGCCTGTACGGGACTCGAACCACTGACCTCTGCGATACTAGTGCAGCGCTCTACCAATTGAGCTAACAAGCCAACTGGGAGCAGGCCGTTAAGTTGATTCGTAATAAACCCGTGAAAGTGATAAATGAGATACAATGAATATATGAAGTTCATATATTTTGAACTGCGGTATTAGATACGTATGATGCACGATCCTCGCAGTAGATAGCGCTATTTATGCAATAGCGAAAATCAGACCTGAAAAAAATCAGGCCTGTACGGGACTCGAACCACTGACCTCTGCGATACTAGTGCAGCGCTCTACCAATTGAGCTAACAAGCCAACTGGGAGCAGGCCGTTAAGTTGGTTCGTAATAAACCCGTGAAAGTGATAAATGAGATAGAATAAATATATGAAGTTCATATATTTTGAACTGCGGTATTAGATACGTATGATACACGATCCTCGCAGTAGATAGCGCTATTTATGCAATAGCGAAAATCAGACCTGAAAAAAATCAGGCCTGTACGGGACTCGAACCACTGACCTCTGCGATACTAGTGCAGCGCTCTACCAATTGAGCTAACAAGCCAACTGGGAGCAGGCCGTTAAGTTGATTCGTAATAAACCCGTGAAAGTGATAAATGAGATACAATGAATATATGAAGTTCATATATTTTGAACTGCGGTATTAGATACCTATAGACGCTCATGTAATTTTGAGAGAATATTTAAAATATCACTTGTAGTGTAAATCTTTAATTGCATTACTGTAATATTCACATTCATACAATTATCAATACAAAATCCATACCCCAGAGACATAAAAATCAGTTAGATTCAGGGTTGCCCAGAAGGCATACAATCAAGGTGAAGAGGAAATGATTGCTACATAACTTTGATTGCTACATATCTTGCTCTGAATTTGTTGCTCTTAACCAATTTTTCAAAAAATGTTCTTCAAGTAATTATTATTATTAAGATAAATGTAAGCTTGTAAAATTGACAGAAGTTTTGGCATAGAAAAATAACACCAATATTGCATAAAGTTCCATCCCTTAAACAAAGAAGGCCAAAGACAGAGTGTATATGATAGACACTGAACTACATAACTTAGAATTCTCAAAATAATAACAATAATCCTCACCCTATGTTATGTACTGTCCTGTGCAAAAGGTCCAAATAACGTCGGGTGAGGTAGCTCGAGAATAGGTTGGCTCATGAGTTCCTCCGGAAACATCCATCTGCTTGTCCCACGAACTGCTGATTAGTCAACAAGTGTAAACCAAAACGATGCGTGGCCTGGTCTGAGCTTACAGTCTACAATCGCCCGCAACATACTGGTTTTATGCTTACGTTGCCATGTAATTTCCGAAGTTTACAGTGCGGTCGGGAGATGACGTCACTATGATGATTGGAAAATGCTAATCATTCGGGTCTACTTCACCCCATGTTATCTAATGCCGACCCCTCCCTACCCGGCCATGGGAAAAACTCAGTACAGACATCTTTTAATTTAACGGGGCGAAATACTTAATGGTCATTGATTACTTTTCAAGATTCCCATGATAAGACTCCACACCAACATGACCAGTGACACTGTGTGCAACCACTTCACAAGCATCCTAGCAGAATACGGCTTACCAACAACCATCGTTGCTGACTTCGGATCTCAATACATCAGTGAAAGAATTTGGATATATCAACATAAAGCTTTTGTAATCGTTACAGTGGCCAATTTACAATTTCAACTTTGTTGATATATCCAAATTACATCAGTGAAAGGTGTGTCACATGATGTGTCTACACCGACAACCTGAAAATCCATAGTGTGACAATGTTCACTGTGTTGCACATAGACTGGCTCTATTCCTCCATGGCAGCTGAAGGGGCTGAAAAAGGGTTCCCAAATCCATGAAGTACAGGAAATTCTTGATGACCCTATTTCGACGTATAAAGAGTTGCATTCTGTTAGTGGCTCTCCTACTAAAAGACTTTGGTAACTGTGTAAAGAACAATTAGACAGTCTTCTTACTTGCCTGAGAGGAGGCACGGCTAGCAGCAAAGATACAAAAGCTATTGGACTTAAGCATGCCACAAGGGTAAAATAATGGTTTTTCATTACACACCTTTAACCCTTCTTTAATCAGAGGAGCTTACAATCACTAAGGAGCTCCCAAGACCTCTAAATTGAAAGAAAATTGGGTGGTGAAAGAGAAAAGTAGAATGTGTTAATTCAGAACGTGTTAATTCAGATGAAATGCTTGTGGAATGGCATCTGCTCAACTGTTCTAGCAGAGCAATACCTCAGAGAGTGTATGCAGCAGCTTTGAATCTTAGTGCCACCTACCGTGTCCTCTAACAAGGGCTTCATTGCCTAATTTCATACCATGAGGTGCTGGGTCGAGTGCAGACTTTCAGTTTACTTTCTCAAAGTAGTGATGAAATCATATCAGTAAAGCTCCCTAAGTATGAAAAGACTGATGTTATTGGTGGAAGTAACTATGTTGATGTGGTTCAAGGTTCAAGTGAATGGTTTGCAAACAGGATAGGAGTTATTACTGCAAGCAAGTTGCCAACATTGCTAGGTATGAATGGGCACAAGGAGTTGGATGCAGCTTGGTTTTGCATCAACAACAAGCTGGATGAAAGCACTTATCAGCCAAAGAAATTCAAACATTTTAAGAGGGGAAAAATATCTGAAAAATCAGCATGGATAACTTTACAGAAGTATTAGGTATGGGGTCAATTATAAATTATCATAAATTAAATGAGGGAGGGCTGATGTCAGATTTTCCCTTTATTTATTCTAGGTGCCCCAGTCTACAGCTGTGGCTTCTTTGAGCATCCACAAGACCCCCGATACGGAGCAAGCCCAGATGATTAGAACTCAAACAATAGCCAAACATCAAATACATGTGGAAAGGGCAATTGGTAAAGTGGAAAGGTTTTTAATTTTTAACAGCCGTCTCCCAATTTCGTGTATGGGTACTATCAATCAGTTATGGACAGTCTGGTGTCTACTGTCAAATTTTATGGACCCCATATTACAAGATGAGCCTTGAATGAACTTGTGTACTTAATTTAGTGTAGTTAATTTGAAGTATACAAAACAATTTTTTTTTACCATTTAAACTACACTAAATAGCATTTAGATGGATTTGAAGTACTTCTTGTCTAGATAAGGAAAAGCATGGCAAAAATAAAAATTTGTAAGTTTAGGCAATAGAGTGTTGTTCCAGTATTGACTGTCAAAGAAAATTCTCTCTGCTGTAATGGTATGTGATCCAGACAGATAAGTAACAAAGTCACTCCACTGCAAACCACTCAGGGCTAGCTGACCTTGTACCTGGGCATAATATCCTGATTCTTCTACGTCACCACATTTAAGGATCATGTGAGATTGCAACGCGCATGCGCAAGATCAGTGCACGTTTGCTTGTCACCAAGATTGGTCACGAACGATCGAATCAGGCGTGAAAAAATGTCAAATATTGAACACACTGAGGATTCCGCCTCGAAAAGTTCTTCTAAAAAGAAGGCAAAGAAGCTCCCTCAAGGCGGGAACGAGGTTCCCAGGTCAGAGGGCACTAGTGGTGTAGAAAACACTACTTCAAACGGTTTGTCGGGAAACGCGCCCGAAAATGACACAACACAACAGAGTGAGCTGTCAACATTTGGCAGTATGCTAACGAATTCTATGCTTACTCTCCAAACAACTTTGACTCGGCAGTTTGAAAAACTGCAAAATACTATTGAAAGAACTTGGTCCACAGAGGAAAATAATCTGTTGGAGAGCTCCGAAGGAGAGTACAGGAGTGAGAGTGACAATGAAAATGGCGCCAAAACCAACGATCGCGCTCTGTGCGACAAACCTCGGTCAAAACGCCAAAGAGATGCCTCCCCATCACAAATATCTGTCTTGTCAGACGATGTGACAGAAACCGCTGCAAAACGGTCGAAAAGCTTAGATAAAAAATGTGATGTACTCGACGCAATTGCTCAACGCCTCACAAAGACAGAACCGACAGACGTTGCTGTCAACGAACAACTTGCTACACTCGTGAACGGACTCATGTTCAAATTGAAAAAACCTGAAGAATCAAAGCTCAAAGAAGAAGGGGAAAAAATCCTCCGACCACAAAACTGCGAAAGTTTGGTCGTCACAAAAGTGGACGAGCTTATTTGGAACAGGCTGAGGCCGAACACGAGGTCCTTTGACTCGAGGGTACAAACAGCCCAAGGCATGTTGATCAAAGGTGTCATTGAGGTCACCAAAATGCTCAATGAAATGCTGGACCTGAAGTCCAAAGCAAATGACGAGTCAGTGAATGATAGTATAGATTATGAGAGCAAACTTAACCAGCTGATCGACAAAGGAATGTCAGCTATAGAAATGCTTAGCTACGCAAATTTCGAGATCAACATGAGACGATGAGAGTGTATAAAACCCGACCTCAATGAAGACTACCAAACCTCGCTATTCTCCTCGTCAGTCCCTGTGAACAACTTCCTATTC